TCCAAATTCTTTGCCCAGGATATACAGAGATCAACAAAATCTGGGTTTTCAAAATAATTTATTCATGAAACATAATAAATAAATTTTTTTAAAACAGTTTTGATCACCAAAACTGGAACTCAACATGTTCAAAAACAACTTATAATTAATAAGTAATTCACTATTAAAACTGAACTCCCAAATTGAAATCAATACATGAAGCCTACGTCTTAAAATGATCTCAAACCTTAGTATTCATTTTTTATTCCATAACCTAGGTCAAATTTCCGAAACACAAATTGATCATGAGAAGATTCAGAACCAAGAATCGAAAACATACACTTGAATCCATAAAACGATTTCAAACTGAAGAGATCGATTGTAATTCATAACAATAACAAAATAGGTCCAGTTCATTTTATTGATCAAAATTAATAAAATTCTTTAAGTATTAATAATTTATCCTAAATCTGAAACAAAATTTGCCGATCAATAATTAAAATTGAACCAAGATCTAAAATCATACTGATGTCATACAACTTAGAGTGATTTATTAGTAAAACTAATAATTATCTCATCATCAAACCATAGAGTCCCGAAACCAAAACCATAGACGCAATAATCCAACCTTTATAGTGCGAGTCGAATAAAAAAATACCATATGTTGGAGCGGACACCAACCGGATTATTACAACCAAACTTTAAACTCAAAAAATTAACCAAAATTTCCAATAATTGATATGAAGAGAGCTCTGATACCACTTGTTGGAATAGATCCAAATGCTGTAAAGACCTCATATCAAATTATTGAGAACTATACAAAAGCGAAAGCGTACCTTAATCTGTAGTGGCTAGAACATTGATTCGGTTTGCTCTACCAGATGATTCCGTCAAACCCTTGTGGGAACCTCTAACAAATGGGGGAGTTAGAGATTTGGCACGACGGCTCATCCAGGGACCATAACCATTTATATATTAGGTTTCCGTTCCACCCATCACAGAATACGAAAACTGGTCTTATGATTTCTACACAATATTGGACCACTTAACTTAATTTTATTAGCTCAAACTTTAGTTGACTTAAGTAAAACACTTTATGTGAACTAGTATTTTATCATAGCATGTAACATACAATTGTATATTTAGTGTATATCCACGTAGATCTTACATTTTCACCTTCAGAGTTTTTATTTTTGCAAAGAGCAAATTGATTGGTTGTTGCTTTGGGTTATTGTAGCAATTAACAGACTTATCTTTCTTGTGTGGTTGGCTAGAAAGTGGTATAATCTTTTGGTTTTGATATATCGAGGATTATAGATCAACATCTATTAGCTCTACTTGTGAAATTCTCGAAAGGGGCCTTGCTGAAATTCAATAGTTCAAATCATCGAATTGAATTGGGTTGTCTGATTCTGAGAACTCGTGAATTGATCCATGTGTCATCATATCTGCATCTCTGGTATTCAAGTAAGTATTTCGATTTTGTCAAACTTACGCTGCTTATTTTGGTCAATTCATTATTCAAAGGTCCTTTAAGCATTGGTTTTATTGTTGAATTGCTATCACTTTCATTAGGCAATACTTATGATAGGAACTGACCGATCTTACATTATAAAGGCCGATACTGAAGCAATTCTAAATGGAGATCTTCGTCAATATAATACTCAGTACACTATACTCCTGCAAATTTGCGATTTATTTTACTATTTTTTACTTGTTTTTCTTGGTTGATAGCTCGTGGGCAGACGTTGAATAAATTCCGGGGTTTACACAATATGTCGATTAGCTTCTTGCGGTTAGAAACCCTCTCTGATGAACGTCGATTCAATTCCAACAGTAGGAAGTTTTTCTCACCGTACGTCAATTCAATTTTAGCGTCAAGAAAAATCGATTGTAACATATGTTGATTAAATTCCGGTGCTGTTAAAACTTGCATAGGGTAACGTGTATTACTCTCGGCTATCGACAGGTGATTGATTTTCAAAATCAATGTAATTGACTGAGGTAAAATTACACTATTTTTATTCATGATCGTGTCAATACGCATCTAATCATTTCTCGACTGATAAATTTATAATATTTTTATCACTCGGTCGTTTTGGAAATTATTTGATATTTAAAGTCGATATCTCAGTAACATTTTCTGCACAAACAATACTCGTAGAAAGTTTAGGATTCAATGCAAATGTTTTTCGGGGATGGGGGACAAAAATTGGTAGTATAGGTAAAAATTAAAATTGAACAATTATTTTTGAGACAATTAGAGTATGAAATAAAAGCCGGAGAGGTATCACTTTGACTATAGTAACTTAATTTGCTAGTTGATCCGGAAGCCGACCCATATTGGCTTAAAATAAAGTAAAAATTATGACCCTTAGTATAGTTTGTCTTTGTCATTTCCGAGTTTGTTTTGAAATTGACTTTCTTCCTTAAAGCAACAAACTATACTAGTCTATTAGTTAAAGCAACCAACTGTACAAGTCTATTCGTATTTCAACAATATGCCTTTGCGAGTCTTCCACGAGCCCTATTTGTTAAACATTTATTAGTGTTAAATGTTTGATTAACGAATACTGCCAATTTTTTGAATTTCCTTGTCATCTCCGCCCCACCAAATTTTCTTCAATGCTTGGGTAACAAAAGCATTGCTTGCTAATTAGCAAACCGATTGACAAAACGACATTGTTCTTTTCATTTTACTTAAACACTGTGGTGACTGAATAGGTGTTAATTTCTCCCCTCCAGTGGCTATCGTAGTTGATGATTGCCATTTGCCAATCACTTTGAGAGTTTGAGGAAGGTAAGGGTCAATTAGAATAGCTTTAGCTATTTTGTATATGGAACTGAAATAATATAAAGAAATTTACTATTCTCTTTGTCCCAAAATGATTGTTCAGTTTGATTTTTTATTTTTAGTTCAAAATGTATTAAAAGTAAAATTTTAAATTGGACAATAATTTTTAAACAGATGTTTCCCCCCAAAAAAAAAAAATTGAACAGGAGTATTTTTTTAAAACGAAATAAATATTATTTTTAGAGTGTTGGAATCGTTAGAGATATTTCACATTTCTTAACGGCCAGCTAGCTAGATGGCGACTCTTTTTGTAGTATAAATTACCAATGGCGAGCAAAAGCTTCCTAGATGAAGATGAATAATATACTACTATAATATAGGGTGAGATCTATTTTAGGAGAATCAATTCTTTCCTAACAAACTTGTCATTAATTTTGTCCTACGTTTTTCGAGCTGATTTGTGTCTTAAATCTTACAAAAATTTTCAATCTATAAGAGAAGTAATTATCTGAGGATGAAAGGTACGCGAACATCAAATTGATTATTGATGAGCATTAAGATGTACTACTTTGAGGACATAGAAAATTCTGTTGAACGGATGAAGAATTGAGCATGTTGTGGACCTTGTGTTATGAGTTTGAAGATTTAAAGAGAAGGAAAAAAAAGAAAGATTTACTTGTGTTAAAGTATTTTCCCATATTGGTGTCTGGAGACACTTTATATTAATATATAAGTACCATGAACTACTCCCCTCATAGTTAATTAATTTTGCGGTGGAACCCATGGATTTCTTTAACTTGCTTGTGATTTTAAGATAACAGTTGAGAATCGCAACTTTGAAACTAATTATATACATTTGGTAATTTATGTTAGGACCATTGACATGGGTTTTTTGATTTATAGAGTGGAGTTTTTTTTTTTTTTTTTTTTACTGTTAGTCTCACTATACATATAAAAAAAGTAGAAGATCAAACCAACTAATATTTCACAGTGAAGGAAATTCGTATAACACATAAAATAGTAGTGTTCTAGGCATGCGTTTGCAATATTATCTTGTATAGAAAAATGTGCGCACATTTAAATTGACATATGGACCAGCAAACCCACAAAACAAAAAGAACAAGCTTTAATGAAGCAGCAAACCACATTGGTTATGGTAGGGGAATAGCATGGAGCTAACGTTGATCCGGCGCAGAGAATTAAAGATTTAATGAAGCTTGAATAGACAACTAGACAATGGCGCTACGAACCAAGGAATTGAAAATTGGACAATGGGAACATGAGCATAGACAAGATAATTTTTGCAACCGATTATTTGGCATTTTCAGCAACTGCGAATTTGTCTGAGTCTTTTTAATTTTGATTTATCGTCATAAGGAGTGAAACCACTATTTTTTTAATGATGTAACTAGTATGAACGGTCTATCTCGAAACGGTTGTAATTGTGTAACTATAATATATTTTCTTTATTACCAAAACAAATTAACAAAAAATTATAATAAATCTAACTTTGCAATTGATTATCTATAGTTTTTTTAGATTTAAAAATGTCAATCATGATGAGTTTAAATGGTATACAGTCCCAGTTAAAGATGAAAAAGACAAAAAAAAAAAAAAAAAAATTGAGACTGAAAACATGAAACACTATACAGTCAGAAAATCATTTTGATTGAACCGATCGAACCGTATCATATATCCATCAATGGTCTACTTTTTTACATTCAAAAATTATGTTTCGCAAGTTTTCTTTTTTCCAAAATGATTGTTTAATCTAGATTTTCATATTCAATACACAGTTTATATTAAAAATCAAAAATATAATTAGAATACTGAACAATTATTTTGAAATCGACTGAATAAATATATATAGCCACTCCACCCAACATGACTACAAAGACACATGTATAATAATAATAAAAAAAAAAGAAATTAAATAGAATGCATGCAAAGAATGAAAGAAGGGTATGTGTAATATTGAATCCGCGCGGAGAGTAGATAGGAAGATGTCATTTTGTTAAGACATTGTTTTCTTCACGTCATCTTTTCTCTCATTAAACAACCAAACCCCCCACAGCCCACATCATCATCCCCTCTCTCTCTCTCTCTCTCTCTCTATCTATCTATAGAGCTTTATACTTCTTCTTCTTCTTAGTAGTTCTCATCATCATCTTCTTCTTCATCAAAACACACAGTCACACAGTTGCACGCAGAGAGAGAGAGAGAAACAATGGGACTTATTGGAAGTGATGAGCGCGTGTTTTACAAGCCGGTCGACGAGGTTGATCTCGGCGCCGACAGCAAAGAAATTTATATCCGGGCAAATGTCAAAGGTAATATTAATGCTTGTGTTCAATTTAACTGATCATCAATTTATCATTCAAGGATCCTCATTCTCTATCTGAATTTACGAGTACTCATGGAATTATGATCACTTTTCTTCTGTGCATTTTTTTATGTTTCATGATCAGTTCTTTCATGCGTACTTTGTGTGTGTGTGTGTGAATTGTGATCATCGTCTTCATCAACATTTTTCATTAAAATTTTCCTCTGTTTTTTGTTTCATTCATATGTTCAAAGAGTATAAAATTTCTATTTTGTATTTACCTCTGTCAATCAATCTCCTTTCTCTGTTGATGACACCAAAGATGGCGGTGAAAATGAAGAAATTCTTTTCCGGTTTATGTTGTTGTCATGTTTCTTAAATTTTCCGGTTTTGCTTGTCTTTTTTTTTTTTCCACATCAAAATTTGGAAGTGCCAGGTGTATCTTTTTGTCAAAAACAAAACAACAAAAATAAAAAGCTGGCGATTTTTTTTTTTCCTTTTTTCCTCGGTAGAGTGACAGAGATAAAATATTAGACTGACTGATTGTGAAAATGTATAATTCTTTACGATGTCATATGTTTCAATCACGATTTGACTCTCGGTGGCGAAATCCTTTGCACCAATGCAAAGCTTTTGATTCACGAAGTGGTAATTGTACAGTAAATTGGGGACATTTTGATACTGCCCTCTGCTATAGCTAGCTACTTGAGTAATTGAATGTGCAATTTACATTTGATAGCTGCTTGCTAGCTATAGTAATAGCAGCCATGATCTTCAAAATCTACTTCCGCATGTCGATTTTTTTTTTGGCTCGTGCGAGACAAAAGAGAAGATGTTGCCAGATTTATAGAATTATTACGATGAAATAATTTTAAATAGCGTAAATTTTTACCGCTTGAATTTCCCATCTCAAAAAATTCAGAAAGCAATGAATCCGTCCCACTTTACTACGTGTAAAGAGTTTAAGGCGTAGGTGGGAGGGGGTGAGAACGGTGGTAAAAATGAGGAAAATTATACTCACGCAATCTAGTGGTAGTAAAAAATAAAATAAAATAAAATTGTAACGGTGTAGTTATTACCTACCTACTAGTACTAGGATTCGATCGGTAGGCGCCACACAATTTCCAGGTGCGAAGCTCTGTTTTTAAATCGGTACTGGCTGATGATGAAATATGTAATATTGCCAGAGGCAGGCAATTCGCCTCTATCCGCCGCTTTTCTTCATTTCTTTCCTCATTTTTAAATTTTAATCACTTTGATCTCTTTCCCTGCCTTCAACATGGCTTTGTTGATCATTTAAATTCTCTCCCATTCCAAAGAAAGTACTCCCTCCGTCCCATAATTATTGTCCAGTTTGAATTTTCATTTCTAGTTAAAATTATACTAAAAATGAAATCTCAAATTGGACAATAATTTTGGGACGGAGGAAGTAATTGATTCAATATAATATAGGGGTATTATTTTTTCAGACGAACTCTTCCTTTAACAAAGAGTAACAAGTAAGTACTTTACAAGTTTTTTTGACAAAATGAGCATGGAAAAGAGTAAGAAAGTATTTTCTGGTTGGCTTCTTGGCTACCTCATAAGTTTGGTTCTCACGTAAATTTGTTTAAGAAATGAAAATAACCTTAACTCTATTTCAAAATTTAAAAATACATATAATTAATTAATAGTTTTTCATTCCCCCGATCAATTCACTATTTCTATCAAACCGTGTATTTTGCAAATTCACAGCAGAAGAACTACTAACTAGAGATAAGAGGCTTGTTTGGAAAAGTTTTGACAGGTGGATATGGATTTTACTCTTTCATGGCTTTGGTAGCCGCAGAAGGGCTCCTTAAATTAGTATTTTTTTCTTCTATGGTTATGATTTGGTATCGTTTTTCAAGGCTAAAATATAGTAACTATTGCTGATACAAACATTCACTATCACAAATAGTAGCATGATCCATGGTTTAAAGTCAAGCGAGCGGTATAATCAAACTTTATATTCACAATATAAATCAATTAAATGTTTTTGAATTTGGCCCCCCTCATTATTATACGATAATAAAGGCCCAGATTTGGATGTTCGAATTGACTTTTCCCAAACATTATGGGAAACTCTTTGCATTAATCTCCTCTCGTTTTTTTTTTTTCCTTATTCCATTTTACGAATTATTGGGAAGGTACTAATCAACTCTAATTTAATGCATGAATTACAATACACAGCACCTCGAATGGCTGGCCTTCTGGTCAAGGTTTTTGTGTGGTTGTTGGAGTCGAGATTTTTGGGAGCTGTTATTCTGCACTTTTTGAAGAAAAACAATCTCATACACAAGGTTGGTAATTTAATCACTTTTTCCTTATATATATTTTTTTCAGATTAAAATGCAACCTAATTAACAACATACAAATTAACCTTAAACACTAAAATTTCATCGTTATTACACAAATAAACGTTAATGATGTTACATATTATGATATTATTGGTCTCCAAATATTTAGTAGCATTGTCGAAACTGCACTGGAATAGAAGAAGTGTAAATAACAGAAGTTAATTTTTTGATATTATAATAATGAGTAATGAGAATTGGATAATTTCTTGTGCTGTTTCCTGCTTGATTGAAAAAGATTAAAGTAAATGCATTTTATTTTAAAAGACTTTGGTTAATCTAAGTTTCTAAACTATACTTACCGACTAATCAAGTTCAATTGAACCACATTAGTTAAAACTTCCTCTGGTCCAATTTATAAAGTGTAAAATTTAAACTACTCTTACTTCGAATTGTTGGCTTATAAAAGCATTTCCAAATTTCGTACACTTGTTTTCTGCTGCATTGTGCATGTTTTTTTTTTATTGGATTAAAATTATAAAAGAGCCTAAAGCTATTTTCATTTTTGCAGCTTGTTTCATATGCAGAGTTGCAAGAATCTCCCCTTTTCGTGCCTTTCCACCCTTATGAAGGTGAGAATATCTTTAACATTTGGTGTGATCATTCGGCACATTTGGTCATATATATATTCCCTCCGCTCTAAAATAAAAGTGATTTTTTTTTTTTTTGGGACGAAGTGAGTATTACATAGTTTCTGTTATCATGAAGCCTTGCCAATCTGGCAGTCTCTGATCCTTAATTGTTTTGTATTTCAATTGGTTCTTATGGCAGGGACTGAAGTAGTAGAAGAGTACATACAATGTGATCATCAATCTCCAGAAAAACAAGTTCAGCAGGCAACTTTGTGTGTTCAATCTCCTGAAAACACACTGAAGACTTCTCCAAACTTCAGCTTTCAGCGTTGGACGATAATGGATTATGCAAGAGCATATAAATCTCGAGAAATAACTCCCCTGATGGTAGTATAGTCTCAGTAACTCTGTCATTTGGTGTTGCTTGACCATTGATGGCTTTCGCTTATGTTTTTCATCCTACAGGTTGCAGAGAAATTAATCGAAGCTGTACGTGAATCAAGTAAACCTTCTATAGAGATGTCCTTTTTCATTAGCTTTGAGGCTCAAGATATTTTGAACCAAGCTTCTGAATCGACTCTTCGGTATGAAAGAGGTACATTTTCTTAGTTTGGAGTGAAAATGCGGTAAGCATGGTTTCTTCCCGGAACTTCCACCAAGTCTATGCATGCATATTGTTTACTGTTAGGGATTGCGAATCGAATCGAATCGGTCCTTGAGATTGAAGTGTAGAAAACCTGAGATTGAAATGATTCCTTGTTGAATTTCGTAGAATCTGCTAACACACTGCAATGATGATATGCACCAATTATTACAAATCTATGTATCCGTTTTTCTTTTAAGCTCTCCTGATGATAGTTCCTGAACTCTTAATGACCCTGATATTTCAGGGGAACCTATATCTGTTCTAGATGGAATTCCAGTTGCCATTAAAGATGAAATTGATTGCCTCCCATATCCAACCACAGGTCTGTTCAACCTTGTATGTTCACTAATTTATAGTTTTCCATCTGAAATCAATTAAGTGTCCTATAGCATTGAGCTGTTTATTTTCATCAAATAATTACTCTTGCAGGAGGCACCCAATGGATGCACAAAGTAAGATCGTGTAAGGAAGATGCTTGCTGCGTCGAGCGTCTCAGATTATGCGGCGCATTATTAGTTGGAAAAACAAACATGCATGAGCTTGGGGCTGGAACCAGTGGTATCAATCCTCATTACGGGTGAGACAGCATGCTTATACTACTCGCCGAACGATTCTATCAGCAAACCTGTTACTCATTTATTCATATAAAGGAATACTTTTATTTCAATGATGTTCGCGGTCTTCATTATTTCACATGTGATCATTTTTGGTGCAGGACAACTAGAAATCCTCATGACAGAAGCACGATTGCAGGAGGTTCTTCTAGTGGATCAGCAGCTGTGGTGTGTGCCGGTTTATGTCCTGCAGCACTTGGCGTCGATGGAGGAGGTGAGTGAATGTTTTGCCCTCCTGAGATCTCAAATGTCAGCTCAGACAATGCCTTGAAGCTTTACCTAACAAAGTCATTAGTGGATTAATACAATCATATGACTAAACTCTGGACATCTTAGGGATGACACTAGATACACATTTTTAAATATGCAAGTAGTACTGATAAATGCATATCTGACTTTGTCATAAAATTTATAGTCATCGAGATAATGCAATTCTAGACACGTTCTTGAAGGAAGTTTTATATCAGGAGCTACAAAATTTTAACAATCTGAAAATTACAACTGATCGTTGTAACTCTGGATTGGCTTAGCTCTAGTAGTTTTTCATTCAAAGTTATATTGTGTATAGCTTCTTCATCTTATTACAGATGCTCATAAACTTTGCTCTCTTGATACAGTTCATGACACTGAAATTGTAGTAGCTTCCATTTTCATTCCAGGATTTCCTTTTAACAATTGAAGTTTTTCTTTTTTTATCGCTCAGGATCGGTGCGGATGCCTGCTGCTCTCTGTGGTGTTGTTGGTCTTAAGCCAACATTCGGTCGTGTCCCTCACAACGGGTATAGATGTTTCCTATAACAAAATTGTCTTCTGGATGTCCAATATTCCTGATATAAATTTTTATTACTAAATGGCCTCAAACTGTCATTTTTGTTGAATATATTTCTGGTTTGGTATGAGTTAAGAATGACTGGGCATACAAGCTAATATGAGGTGCTTTTTCAGAGTTCTTCCTCTGAATTGGACAGTCGGAATGGTTGGTATACTAGCTGGTACAGTTGAAGATGCACTGATCATGTTAGTGATCCTCTTCCTGTTTCCCTTTTCTGAAAGTATTAGTGCACTTTTATAATTTACAAATGCCACTTTGCAATGTACAGATATGCAGCTATTGGTGGTCCATTACCATCAGATAGGGTATCTCATACAGTGGTATATGGGGCCATCTTTCCTCCTTTTCATAATTTAACAATTATCATATTAGTTGTTGTTGTACGTTAATGTATCAGCTTGTTTGCTTATAACTTCTCAGACTTGAAAGTTATGGCATCTCTACTATGCTTCTTATTAATATCAACCCGTTCCATTTGCCTAGGATATCCATTTGTAAACTTAACTGACTCTTTTCTTTTGCTCATCTTCATCCTGAGAAATCACCAGCCCAATGTATGTTTGCCGCTTCTGAAGTTACCAAACTATAATTCGAGTATTAAACTTGCGAGATATGGAGAGGTTTGTTTTTCTACAACCTGCTTCTTTCTATTTGAAAAGAGATATTGGATATCATATGAACTCCACCATTGACCTGTCTTCTCGATTAAATGCTCATTCTTATACGGATTGTTATTGTCTTGTCAGTGGTTTAATGATTCCAATGATGACATCAGAATATGCTGTTCAAATGCTTTGGCTAAATTACATGATGAGTATGGATGGAAGGTGTGTGACTACCCCTGCTTTGGTGGAACCTAATTTTGATTGATCTTTTGTCCCAGAAGTTGATGGTGCAATATTATCTTTCTTGGTTCTGAAGTACTCTAAGTGGTTCCTAGAAGAAATAGAACAAATGAAGATTTTATTTGATCAGCTTTCACTCTTTTCTTTTTTTGGGTACCATCATGATGTAAAAGCATGATGAATTATGGCTACTTCTTTTTGTTTTTAGACAATAGAAGTTACCATACCTGACATAGAGGCGATGCGTCTGGCACATTACTTGACAATCGGTTCAGAATGTAGTACTTCGATCGCTCACCAATTAGAAATGATGTACGTGGTTTCTGCAACAACATCTTTTTTTTTGTATCAAGGTTCTATTATCTAGAGTTTTATTCTGCTACTGCTGAAATAAGGCTTCGGTCTATATAGTGATAAGGCAGAATTGGGGTGGGATGCTCGGGTAGCACTTTCTGTCTATGGTGCTTTCAACAGCAGGGAGTACTTAAATGCCCAGAAAATGAGGTAAATTTATCTAATCCCTGTTAAACATACCTTTAGTTGTATCAACTGATAAGAGTGTATTGGTTCTTGCTTTTCAGTTCGATAATTTCACTCAAAAGTAAGTATATTTGATGTTTCTGACTTAATACTCCAATGTTCAGCGACAGAGAGATCTTTAGCTTTATAAATATAGTGCCATTCTCAGCAGATTATTATGATTTTTTGGGCATTATTGAAGTTTCTCTGGTAGATTTGTCATTTCAAATTATAGTTGAAAACAACACTAGGTTTATTTTAGTACAACAAAAAAGAACAACTATTATGGTACAGAGGGATTACATGTCAAGAAGCTTGGCTGGTATGTTATTCCTTATGAAACAGAATGTCATTAGGTAAGAGATTCATTTATGACTATTTGGAGTGGAGGGTTTGTTCATTGTTCTGATATTTCGACGTTGAGGGATCAAGTCAAAGTAGATGTTTTAGACAATGCAAACTATCTGTTCCTTTTACAGTCCATTTTGTTTAAAGAAGAATGGCTTTCACTCTTAATTCCATAGAGATTAATATTGATGCAACTGTACTAAGATTTTCAATACATATGATCAAGGCCTCGCATTAGGATGAAAGTGATATTTGGGAGTTGTAACAATTAGGATGATGTAGAAACATCCTGTCTCTAATTATCGTTGAGGTTGAAACTGTAGGATGTCAGGGATAGGCTTCAATTGGTATTAAACTGGAAGTCCAGAACCATTACATCATGCAACAATGCTGCATGGTTTAGAGAGACCTTGTGGAGCTGCAAATGTTGCTAGTTTTGAACCCCAAAGAATTACATCACATTCAAAATCTACATCACACTCTCAATCCATGTGCTGTGTTAATTTCGTGACAGTCATCTTTGAATATGATTGGCTTTTCTTTTTGTCATTTTCAGGCACCGCCAGTTTCAGATCCACAAGAAGATATTCTCAAAGGCCGATGTCATAGTTACCCCAACAACAGGGTAAATTATTCATCAACTTTAGTTGCTACAGTCTGATGTCTTTTTTGTTCTCTAGTAGTAGTTGCCCGGGAAACCAATTGCAGAATGAGATTATCATTTGTTTCAAAGTTTTCAACCGCTAAAATAAATGATACATTCTGTCCTACACATCATCTTAATTCACTTGGATGGTAGTTAACCTTAACTTAATAACACGCAGCGTGACAGCTTATCCAATCCAAGATGATGCTTTGAGCACGGGCGAATTGGATTACATTAATGGAGGTATGAAGGATCTAGCATTAAAAGCATCACCTTCTCATGTTCTTAAGAAATCACACTTGATTTCATTCAGTGTCGTACTATTTTCATCATGCATTTTCAAATTCATACTGATGTCAAGGACTACACTCATTTCAGCTGCACTGGTACGATATCAAATAGCCGGGAACTTCTTAGGATTGCCTGCAGTGACAGTTCCAGTATGTACTCATTAAAGTTCTCTTCTTTACCTGAATATTTCTTTCGAGTGCCAGTTCTTCTCTAATATCGACCTTCTTCACATCTTCGCGTAGGTTGGTTACGACAAACATGGATTACCAATCGGGCTACAGTTTATTGGGAAGCCATGGTCAGAAGCTTTATTGATCCATATAGCCTTCGCTATGCAAGTAAGATTTCTTATATCATACCACATTTTCTAATTTCCTAGAGCATACCATGGTTTGAAGTTTGCTGTTTTTGTTTACCATAATCTCAATCCATGTTGTCAAGCTTCTTGTACTGAGTCTCGATTCCTCGGATTAGGTTGAAGCGAAGCAATAACGTACAACTTTGTACTTATTTCCCTTTGTTTTCAGGCTCTATGCATGTCAGACTACAAGAAACCAGAAGTTTACTACGATCTGCTCACTGGAAAATGAGAGTGGTTGGCCTAATGAGCTGAGGAATTCTTGCAAATACATGGCAAAAGAACTAGAATCATTCCTACAGATTAAAAAATTAGATGAAATATATCGTCATGAAGATGTGAAATAAGGTTTGATTTTATGTGTAAGCTCTTTTACTTTGTGTTGTTGATAACTTGAAAATTGTAAGGAACATTACCATTCAGTATTTGAGACTTTTGTATGTTACGGTTTGATTACTTTACATTCTTCAGTTGTTACAGTGTTTATAAGAAACCTTAAACTCGCAATGATGGTAGCTCACCATAAAACCATGTATGCTTACCTTCTGCCAGACTGCCACCATCATCAATATTTTCGCGAAAAATTGTATATAACATATTTTAGGGAAAATATTGTATGCATCTGCTGTATTCATGATTTTCAGTGCAACAAAGTTTACAATTGTCGCAGTACTGAAGTTATCACCTCACCCAACCCAATCTTCTAATACCTACACCACCTCATCTTTCTCCTTCCTATTACCTAAAGTTCATTGAAGTGCTTTGAAAATGGCACCACATTTCATACCATAACAGCAAGCCAGCAGATCGAACAGAGACAAGGAAATGATACAGAAGACAAGAACGAAAAAGACTGCTAGCTATTAGCACCACGAACCAAGTTTTCCTGCAGTTATAGAGAGGTTTACTAAAACTTCAACAGATTTTGAACATTCTCAAGGCGAGATGAATGAAGGATTGATAGGGAGAGGATAACAGAACCCAACAGAGAGTGGTCGATCAACAAACCACCTCAATCGAACACAGGAAGCCTAAAGATACCACAAATGATATCAGCACTGCACTAAAATTACATAGGAGTAACTCCAACACTAGATCCTACAGAAGATAACAGCAGGCACAAGTACATCCCAAACCTAGACAGTGACAATAATTGGAAAAATTTTCACAAGCCAAAGCAATTTCCCCATAGTAGGCAAGATATAAGAAAGTAAACATACTACCAGTCTACCATAAACTGGCACATGATACAAGCATTAATGCTCCATATAGAAGAGTAAGTAAGAGCTAGGACAACAAGACCAGAAGTCTATATCCAGGAAATTTTCCAGATCCATGCAGTGAAACTGCTAACCACTGGAAAAAAATAAATAAATAAAAATAAAAAAATTTAAAAAATTGTAGTTAGAAACTACACTAAATTCTTTCATCCAGAAAGCTCCAAAATTGCAGAAGCATACCATGTTTTGGTTTCATCAACTTCAAAGATAAAATCCCCACAGATACTTTTTCAAGAAAATAATTGATTTTACAAATCACAGAACTCGTAATATGAACATTCCACCAGGATGAAAATCTGTTAGGAATGAGAGGCGAGAACATGATGCATCAACCTACATTGAAATTCAATATCTATAACATTATTTTGAAATAAACCATTTCCATGTTCGCAGTTTGTGTCAGCATATAAAGCTTCTACTAAGAAAAAGGAGAAATCACAACAAGTGCCAAGAAAAAAGGGAAAGAAGAAAAAAAACAAGAGGAAAAACATAACTAGCTTTAAGTCTACCAATTCAAAGAGCAAAAGGGCCATTACTTAGAAGTTCATGTGAGCATCTATCTGCCTCAGATATCATACGATATTATTAGCATAAGTTGCTATTGTTCAGAAACAGAAAGTTACTTTCCGTTATATTTGCCGTGCGCAAAATATTTCAAGAAAGCAGAGTTCACACACAAATGTTCCAGAAGAGTAATTTACGAAGAACTCATGCATATTTATCACCTCTCAGACATCAAGGTCATTGTCAGCTCCAGCCAAAGAACAGGATAGTAACTAATGCAAATATTAGGCAGTACAAGAATTCACAGTCATACCTTGAAAGAATTAAAACATACAGCTTCAAAAGTTTAAGCTCCAGGTAAGCTGAGGCACTGACAGAAAACCTTTCAATTCCAACAACCTTGGCTATCTACCATTGATTAACTTGTTACAGCAAAAAATAGAGTTTGATTAACTTGATAAATATGGCTTCCCAAAGGAATCTTGTTAATCCTTCAAATGCAGAAACTTTTCCTTCTTCCTGTGAGCTAGAGAAACTTCAATCAACCTACCATGCTCGCCAAACATAAAGAATTGGTGGCTTCCAACGCACAATGAGAAGTCTCTGCTTCCACTATCAGGTGAAGATCAGAGAAAGAGCAACCACAGAGGTAAACAGTTGCAATAGCCACTCCTCTGCAAATTTTTGGAATTCAAATTTAAAGTAGCTTAATTCAAGCAGGGTAATCCCTATATGCTGAGAATACAATTGTTCCTCTCTTCTGATCTATTAACCCATATGTGCCAAGTCATCATCCATTGCAAGCATGGACGGTACAACGGAAATTTGACACTCATTTTCCATCTAGTTCTTTATTTTTTTATTAAGTCCTTGCATTTCCACACTGCACTATATTTCACAGGAAGCAAGTAATACATCAAACTGGTTCTATTGCAAGGCATACTACTCTTCAGTCTATATAGCATGTAATTAGATGATTAAACGGTGCATTTCACTGACGGAGTAAACAGTGAAGTAGTAGAATGCAAGTGATTTGCTTCAACTTTCACTCCAAAGGAAAAAACTGAATTTTTAACTACCACCTTAGCTCTGCAGCTATACCTTCTTCTATATATTTTATCACCAACTTTCACAGAATGAATTTCACAATCATGTGTGCAGCTTTGCACTAGATGCAGTGTCCGTGCCTGATTATCCCTAGAAATTGTGCTTATCTGACTTATTTATGCACCCACTAAGCACTGTAAAATACAAATACTTCACCACTACATCGAGGTAAAATCTGATAAGAAGTTGCAAAATTGACTTCCTGCCAATTCAGAAAGTCTGGCATATCATTTGTTTAGGAGAAAAATGTTACTTACTGGAACTGGCATTTCTAAGTAAAATCCTCCGCTCTAGCTCCAACAGACTGCTTTTTTTGTTGGCAAGTTTTCAAACAAATCTTGAACTCAAAGTCTCTTCTTTCCAAATAAACATGCTCTTACGATGAGATTCTAGGCAAAAGCCAAGACTAGAATAGTGTATGAAGTATATGGAAGTTTCCAAACAAAGAAAGCTTTCTGAACCACAATTTCAACTTCAGATACTTATAAAGCTCCAGCATTTACCAGACACCTGTGACACTTATCTCCTTGTTCACCGTCCCAAGCACATGTTGACGATGTCGAACTTCAATGTAAATACTAATGCATTTGTGCATTTCACACAGCATTGAGATCAAAAATGAAAACCACAAAGGGGGCCAAAAGAAAAAATGTAAAAGTAAAAGATATACATTTTACAAAGTAGACAAATCAATAAATTCATTATTTGACTAATTGTTTCACAAAATCACTAAATGAAATAGGCCCTTGCCATTTCATGCCCTAACGGTGCTGTTCAGCAGCTGCATTTTGCAATACCAATAACAACACTCTGAACAATACAAGATGATGCTGAATACTATCCCAACAGCATTCAAACGAATATCCAAGCAAACTACAACAAATGGAGAAAAAAAACAGCAAACTCGCATTTGAGCAACTCTCTTACTACATGCTATCACGGACTAGACTTATGTATCAAAGGATTCTTACCACTAAACAGACGAAATCAAACCAAAACAACCACTTAAAAGCACTAAAAGCACACACACATATTAACAGCGAGAATGGAGAACGGGTAAGAACCACAATCAGCACAGAATCTCAACGTGCATCGCCTTCTCTTTGTTCTGAAGGTGGAGGAGGACCAGACAATGAAGCAAGCAAATTTAGGTGGCCTTGATGAGCCATTGGCAGGTAATTCCCTACACGGGCCGCCGACGCTTCCCCCATTGGACTCCCTTGCTGAAGAAACCTCGCAACGCTAGACTGCTGTGGCCCACCCAAGGTCGGCACCACCATCTCCGGTTGCGCAGCGGCGGCCGCGGCGGCAAAGCTCCATACTTGCCCTAAGTCGGGCCGGGCAGGGAGGGCCCAGAAACTCCCGCCCACAGCAGCGGGTCCCACAACAGAACCCGAGCCATCATCCTTATCATTCAAACTGTCTTCCTCGTTAGACGACCTAAGCCTTTTCCCGAGAATAAACGGTGTCGGCGCAATCAAAGACTGAGGAGACGACAGCGGCTTAAGGTCCAACGGAGCCGAAAGCGAACCCGAATTCCGCGCAGACGCAGGAGAAACAGTAGAGAAACTGGCCGGAGTAGTACCGGTTCCGGTGGCGGCTATAATCGAGGGCTCAGCCTGACGGAGCAGCCATTCAATAGTCTGGCCGTCAGACTTGTGGCCGAGCTCCCTGGTGAGCTGGAAAACCCTAGCGGCACAAATAATGGGCATACGAATGCGCCGACCCCGACCATCAACCTTGCTGTGCCGGTCCTTGGCCGGCGGCTTCTTGACGGCCAAAGCAGTGCCGTTGCTGGAATTAGCAGCAACCCTTTGGTCAATAATTGCTCCGTGACCGTTACCGTTGCCGTCTGCTGCCGAGGCCGATGACATAGGTTAGCAGAAAACAACCCCTTTTTTTCAAACTAGTGGGAAATCAGCAGGAAGAAAACAGAGCAGACTTAACAGATGGTTGAATCGCTCATTCAGGAAAAAAGCTTTTCCTCCTTATCTTTTGTGTATATAGTTTTAGAGTGGGCTTCTTTTTTTTCACTGTTTTGGGGGAAAAAAAAGGGAACCCAGTTGGGAGGAAATGGAAGTGAAGAAGGGGAGCAAATCAATGATTGAGGGGCAGGAGTTGGTGGAGACAGGAGGAGGGCACATGGGTGGTGGGGACTCTCTCTCTTTCTCCCTATACACACTGTTTACAGTGTTTACTACTACTACTATACTACCCTCCCTCCCATTAAAGTACAAACCAACACAGCCTCATCAACATAACCTTACACCCTTTTTTTTTTTTCTTTTCTTGTTTTTGTTTTGCTTTCTAAATTTTGTTTTTCTACAACTCATTTTCTATCTTCAATATCATCATTTGGTTTTGGTTTTGGTTTTGGTTTTGGTTTTGGTTTGGGTACAGTTGTAATTTCCCATAGCTGTACTTTTTGGCATTTATTGACGAATTTAGGAAACACATACAAGTTTTTGATAGTTGTGTGCTTTAACCTTGAGAAAAAATAATTCTTCGTTGTATTATTTTCATTTAATAGAATATAAGTTTTTAAAAAAAAAAAATGAAAGGAACACAATGTAAGTGTTTTTTAACTATGGTCTCTTCTTAATAAATGACAAAATTGTTTGTTTTTACTTTATTAAATAGAAAACTTACTTTCAAGATAATTTTTGATTTTTTTTTTGGTTATCATAAGGGTATATTTGGTAGAAACAATCAAAAATTTGTAATGTTTTTGTTTTTTTTTTTTTAATTTCTATCCCTGCCAATAAAGACTTTCATTTATCAAAATGTTTACATTACATGTTGCACCTCAAAGTTCATCTATGAATGACTCGATATGTTTACTAGTCAGTCTATTTATCTGGATTATGATTGTGAGACTTAGACTCACCTATCCACTTCTACTTCTAACTTTTCTAAAAAAATCAATAGTATCCATCTCTTTTCCAACTTTTGTTCTCAATCTTCTTCTTCCATCTTCAATTGATCCTTTCAAATTAAATGAAATCAATAGCTATGTGGGACTTAGACTCTTTTTTTTTTTTTTTTGAGAAACAAACGGTAAAAGTTTGTATTAATGGGAGGAATTAAGTGTATGGTTACATTCTTTGGCCTTATTATGAGAGACTTAGACTTGGATGATGAATGATTGACTTCTGTAGCAACTAAATTCAATTGGAATTCTGGTAAGAATTCGATTGATCGAAACATGTTAGTATAGATACTGATCAAGAGTAATAATATCAATAAATATTACTATCATACTTCCTGCTGTACATATGTTTCAAAAAAAAAAAAAAAAGAAGAAGAAGAAAAAGGAAAAGGAGAAACTACTCTATTAAAATACATCATCCGCCACTGTGTCAAAAAAATTAGTTTTTACCCCCTCCATGTTTCCAAAAATGTTAACGTAGCCCTGCGCAATTTTTTAAGGCGGCTAACTTGAATTGCTCTAAGCATGGAAATGCTTTTATTTCCACAGGAAAGCGTGTCTCAGTTACTTTTGTGCCTATACATTAATCTGTTCTCTGCCAAGAGTATATTCTATATTCAGTAAAAATCAACTTTTGTATAAGAGTCACATGTACACTAAACACTACTATTGAACTTTACCTAATCAGTCCCTGATCTCTTCTCAGTATACAAAACCATTTGCTCCAAGGATCCCAGATTCCCAGTTCGATAATTTGCCATGGTGTACTCAGATCACCATGCGTTGTACTGCAGTTTCGATTTCGTAGTCCTTTGCATACATAACCAAGGCTCTCTCCTCCACTGAATGTAGCCACAGATGAAACTATCATTCTCCTATTTGGCTGACAATAACTTGGAAGCCACCAAAATTTTGCAATGTCTAAATAATTTATCTGTTTAGTATATCTCTGTGGATTTTTCAGAGTCAATCATGAAATCATCCAATCTTGCAAGATAGTTTAACTTCTGACCCAGAGAAGCAATTGTCTTTTGGCACTCTGCAAACTTACTAGCCGCTAATGCCAATTCCTTGTCCTGTCAAACAATAGACACAATAATTTTCAATTCAACGGAATGAAATGAAATAGCTTTGTCTCAGGCAGAGGTTCAAGGGAACCGTATAATGGGTGGGCTGATTCATGGTGATTATGGAAATCCAAGGATGAGAATGTTCATATCCATTCCCACCATAGCCAAAGCTTTTTGTATTTCATTTTAGCATCACTAAGGCAAAGAATTAATCAGCATAAAAAATGCTACTTAGTCATAATAAGTCATCGTATCATTATATTTCAGTTAAAATCCATGAACAAATACATTCAATATATCTCCCCACATCAGAATTAAGGAAGAGTTCACAATATTCATAATTTTATGATTCAGAAGATCAAACCAATCTATTTTTATCACAATGGTAAATGAAGTACATATCCAAACTTTTTTGACATGCAATATTTACACCCTCTATTGATTAAGAGGAAAAAATGTTTGTTGATTTCCATAAGCTTCCTTGTATACAAGTTTTTATAATAGATATTTGACATTTTTAGTTTATCTGAAAAGGTAGTGTAATTTAGATTATGTAAGCTACGGCAATATCAGATTTCTATATGATGATTATTAATTATTCAATGAAAATTATCATAACAAAATATTACCCCATAAAACAAGACCAATATTTGGATCTATGATAAACTTATCCAAGTTAAGCTGCAATCTGGAATGCCCTAAAAACTTCATGAGACATACAAATATTCACAATGTGCGACCAAAAGTTTTCCCCTTAAAAGAATCACATTTTACATATTATTGAGACCAGAATTGTCCGTTATAGGATGGTTCAACAATTTCGTTCCCAAATTTTATTTCTGTACAACAGCTTATTCACATAAATGTGGTTTTAACCTAAAATCAACAAGAGAGCAAAGCTGACCTATGTAAGTTGTAATCACAAAATTTCAATATTGTCTGTATAATCTCAAGCTGTGATAGATACTCAATTACTAGGAAGCACTGGACTCAGCTATTCTAGGAAGAATGGTATCTTTTATATTTCCTAAACTCACTTAAAGCTGATGATGCTTATTTAGTTTGGCTATTCATGTTTCAGATAACTTTTGCATTATGTAATAACCAAGTATGTGTCTCGGTAACTAACCTGATTTGCTTTGAACTCCCCATAACTTGCTGTTCTGCTATGCAGAGAGTCAGACTTCAATCTTGAGATCTCGGCATCCAGTTTTTGGCAGTTGGCAATAGCTTGCCCTGACAGAGCTCGCTCTTTTTGAATATCTTCTTCTAAAGTATAAATGGTTGATTTCAAAGTTTGAAGCTCAAGTTCAGCAACTTTCACCCTTGATTCTGCTGCTTCTTTCTTTCTATTTGTAGCTTCAAGTTCCTCCTGAACCTTGCTGCTTAAGTGATGAGCAGCGGCTAACTGAGTAGAAAGCTCTGCCACTGTGTTCTTCTCTTCCTCTATACATTTTGTCAATTTCAAAAGCTTTTCACTGGTAGCCATCAAATCAGTCTCGACCGACTCTTTCTCTTGATACAACGTAGCTAGCTTATTTTCGAGCTCTGATAAACTGTCTTCTGCTCTGGTCAACTCTTTGCATGATTTTTCAAGCCTACTCTTGGTAGCCTGGAGTTCTGCTTCTGTAGCTTTCTTTATTTCATTTGCAGAGACAAGTTGAATTTTCAACTCTATCAACATCATCTCCTTTTCCTCCAGTTGATCTTTTGATGCCTGAAGTTGATGCTGACACTCACTCAGAGACATCTTCAGTTCATTTCTCTCCTTTTCCATCCTCTCCAGCTCCTCCTCCAGGTCAGCTGTGCGATTAAGAATTGCTTTAAGTTCTGATTCTCCATTATGACTTGCTGAGTCAGGGAAGATTCTTTCATCTGCTGCAGGATGAGCAGCAAGTCTCTCCATCTCAAGAAAATCATTCATGAGGTCAATCTCATCAGAAGGCACCATTACATTTCGTCCAAGAGACTTCACATTTTTACCTAAATCCATTTCCGCTTTGGAAGTGGACGCCAACAGGTCAGAGACACCTGGCTCGCCATGTCCAATCTCCATACAACTCATCTTGCAGCTTTCGTTATCAATTGCCAATAACCCCTCCCCGCAATCCGACTGACTATCTGTGAAAGACTCAACACAAACTGATGAGACAGATCTGTGATCATTGATAGTTGCAGCTTTGCGTGCCAGCATTTTTACCCTTCGGCACTCTGCTTCCAGCTTAGCCACCTTCTTGATGCTTTCCAGGTATTGCTTACTGGTGGTTTCAGCAGCATGGATGCTCAAATCCCTTTCCGTTATCCTTAGTTTCAGTTCCTCCTCTCTGGAAATTAGTTGAAGTTTGAGACTTGAGTTGTCTCTCTCTGCAGCTTCAAGTTTAATGCAAAGGTCAGGAAACGTGGAGGTAACAGCTTCTGTTTTAGCAGTTTCAAGTTGCGCCCGAAGCTCAGTAAGCTGATTCTTAAGTTCAGATTGCATAGATTCAAATTCAACATTTCTCTGCGTAATAGCATCATGAATTTTCTGTTCGTGCTCTTCTTTCGCATTTCGAAGCTGTCTAAGACATTCCTTAAGGGCACCATCAAGGTGCAAAACACGTTCTTCTAGGGCTGCATTCTTTTGTGTTGTAACCTCAATATGTCTTTTTAGGACTAATACTTCAGCTTCAGCCTTCTCCCACCCTGAAGTGAAAAGAGAAAATCTTGAAATCCTGAATTAGGAATGGAAAAAAATAATTATTCTCAGCAAAGGAGTCCACCAAAGACAGTGAAGTAATATAAGCAATCAAAGGGTTGGTACAAAGTTAAATCACAAAATTTACAAACCCACGCTGGCAACAACAAGATGACATGAAGCCGATAACAAAATGATCAATCAAAATGCTTTCAAAGAAGAGGAAACTTTCTGAAAAGAATGATTGAAAGAAACAGCATCCAAGCCATCAGAAACCAGACAAAAGATGGTGCCAGAATAAGTATAGTTAAATTTGACATAAGAAATTAGCATCTTCTTATCTCATACATACAAACACAAACTAATGCTTGAAGCTAGGAGAGGATGCAACAAACCTGGGATATGAACTACATTATACTCACAAATGCTATAAGTATTTCTTTTTTACAGAATGAGAAAATTACTGAAATTGTTGTTGGTCTATTATAAGCCAATGGGACAAAAGATTTGTACGGTGTTGAGGACAACATTCCTCAATATTCGGATTCCTTTTGGAAGAGGATTCATGAAAAAAATGAAATCATGCGAAACTCCACTAAGCAGTTGGCATTCAGCCAAGAAAATAAGTGAAACCTGACACAGCTTCTTCAGCAACTTTGGCATGCTGCTTGACCAAGTCCTCCTTAGCACGGATGTTAACGAGAGCTTCCGAGAGTTTATGTGATAGAGTCCTCATGCTATCATGGAGTTCTTCAGTGCTAAGGACAGCTTCTTCCACAGAAGGAGCTTTTGATGTAACTTCTGGTGATTGACTAGTTTGATGTGTAAATGCCTTTGAAAAAGAAGAGGATATTTATCAGATTTGGATACGAAGAAATAGTTTTCTTCATTCTATAAGTAACAATATTTTAACCCACATCTTGATAGAATTGTAAGACTTTAACTATAGCTATAAACTTGAGGACCAGAGGTTCAATGAGGAATAAAACAGATTCCAGTTTCGCAAATTTGTATCAGTTTTAACAATACAATTGCAGTCAACATAAGATAAAGATGGCACTTAAAGATTAACAAACAGGATTTCAGGATGCAAACTACGGAAGTAAAAAGGAGTGAAAAAGCGAAACTCATTGCAGCATTTCCTCTTAAAGTGTATCAGAACCAGTACAAGACATAGATTGTGCCTCAAATAAGCTTCATAGAATCTTGCTGAGCAAAAGAACATATCATCCAATTTGTATTTTCTCATGGGGCCTTTTGGCTACTGCAAGGATGATACGTGAGGCAAGCAACAGTTGGGTTGTTGCTTTAGCACAAAAACCACCCATATAACGCAATCAATAAGCAGGAAAACAAAGTAAAAGTATGCAATGATAGAATAGCTTATCCCAAATTTCATGTCAGTAGCACAGACTTACTGCTTCAGTTTGCATAAGCTATATTGATTGCCTTGTTTTCTAGGACCCGTGTTCACTGGTACATACCCAGCTGCATTTATCTCGGTTTAAAGGTTTTTTAACTTATTACTTTCATTTTTATGGCCGATGCTTCAGACAAACATGAATCCGTCGAGTAAAGGTCACTAATCCAGTTATAGGTCAGTGACTTTAAAACCCTAGACAAACAGTATCAGCTCAGAAAGTAAAAGAATAGTACTCAGTTGTTCAATTTTGTACAGAAAATCTTATATCTATCCAAACATTCCCATCCTGGGACTGTAATGGATTGACCCACATATTCAAGAAATAACCATTACATGGGTTCGCAACAGAACAAATCATTTGGTTAACTGAGAGCATAATCTTTCATGACAAGAAACAGGCGGAGTATATGTAGCCAAATGTCCTTCACATTTTAGTTCTACTTAAACCAAGAAGAAAAGAGTTTATCTATAAATGGTGTAGAATTGGTTCCTTAAAGGTAGCTGGCCAATCCAGCTAAGGAAGATGTCATAGAGTGGTATTTTCTTTTTCTTCTTTGAGGAATAACATAAATTGATAAGGTGAGAACAGTTGGCTTCATTCCGCTTCAACTGAGGATATCCAAACAAAGTAATCAAGATAAATTCATTAAGCAAGAATGACTTCAATATCTCACAGCCAGATTTCATGTTTTCTGATTACCAACGGATGACAGCACAGAAACTATAATTTCACTCTTCAAACATAATTCCTACGGACCTAGGAACGTGAATGATGAGGATCCAAGCAACTCCAGAAATGCCATCTTGATTTAGAGAGGAACCTAAGTACAAATTAAATATTTTTAGCCTAAGCTACACAACAGTGATATATGATCCACATAACTGAGTAACTGACACAAATAGAGGCTGGCTTAGTTGGTGTTATTGTTAGTATTGTCAGCGAACAATCCCAAACATTAACATGAATTTCACTGTTAAAAGCAAGTTCAAGAATCTAGCCTACAATCAATTTTCCCCATAAACTTTAGTATCTAACTCGCAATTCACAACCAGATACAAAAACCAGAATAAATTTTCAAAAAAAAAAAAAAGAACAAGTCACTTAAGCCTAAGATACAATCCAGATGGACATTACCGAACTCGTTCACTAAAATTTACAATGATCATAATTCCCCAAAATTACCAATGTGATTATGCTTCTCACCCTATCTAAATTGTTAGATCCACAATAGATCAAACTTCTTCATAAAACTATCGCATTAGGGGAATGCAAGAAAGAAAAGTTCTAGTTCAATAACCTGATCATCAGAGTATCTTTCAGAATGGGATGAAATTGATCCAGAGCTATCTGTTTCCCCACTTGGACTCTTGTCTGATGACTTCCTCCGCCACAGCCAACTCCTCCTGTCCATCTAAAACAATCTAAATGTCACACTCCTTTAATCAATGCATGCCATAAGAGCTTAACAAAAGACCACAAACATCGAGCTATATTTCATTGGTATTGCAATCATTAAACACCCCGCAGGGAATTAATCACCCTTACTGAAATCCCTCCTTTATTTCCCACTACTTGTGCCACCCAATCACAGAGAGAATTCCATAAGCGATAAAACCCACCCACAAGGCAATGCGGAAGATCCCGGGAAACCTCAAAGCAGACAAACAATCATTCCTCACAAAAATGAAATAAAAGGTAAAATAAAAAAAAAAAATTGAACTGAAGCAGGGAAGTAAGAAGCAACAACTGAGATTAGTTGCTGTGATTGTTAAGTTTCTTAGCTTAGAGTTCACTTCTCCAACCAACTTCTTTTTAGTCCATACCACCAACCCACCTCATCAAACCGAAAAGGAAAAAAGAAATGACAAAAAATGCAGAGATATCTTACTTTCCAACTACAAATCCCACATCAGAGATGGCAACAGAAAACGCCTAAAACACAGAAAACTCAACTGGCATCGATGATTAGACCAAAACTGACGAGACAGAGGGTATGATAAAGACGGTACTGAAAAAGTGCCGAATTAGGCAGGCCTCACATGTGAATTTAAAAAAAGACAACCCCCCATTGATTAGAACTGGGAATTAAACGTGACCCACTTCAAAAGATTTCTTCAAAAACAAGACCCACATTGCCAAAAAAACAAAATGTAAGATGAACAAGAAGGAAGCAGTAGTCACCTATATTATTCCACAGGTAATAATTCACTGTCCGCCACCATAACTCAAAAACATGATACTTCTGTAGAATGAAATCAGGAACAAAAAATGGACCAGACCCACGAGAGATGATAACTCGAGGAAAAAGGCTCCAATAATTGGAGGGAAGTGATTGATGATGGTGACGGTGATGAAGAAGGAAAAATTGGGTTTAGGGAGGCACCTAGAAAGTGAAAAGAATGTGAAGAAATCAGAGATATAGTTAGTCGAAGAAGAAAGTATTTTTAGTTCTGCGCTGAAAATGAAACGAGGGACAGGGAGCGTGTTGAGTGAAGAAAAAGACATGTTTGTTATTTGTTATTTGTTGGAAGAAGAATATTTATTTATATATATACTAGTGATGTCTGGTCGCGCAATGCGACCCTAGCCCAGTCTATCTGTAGATCTTAGAAATATTTATATTTGAAAAAAAATAAAATTTTGTATTTGTACGAAATATTTTAGAAATATTTGAAGGAATTAGAAATGTTTTATAAGTGTGATCATAGAAATATTTGTATTTCACACAAAAAAAAAAGAAATTGTATTTCGCCATGTATGTTTTAGAAATGTTTTATAAGTGTTACTTATTAAATATAAATAGCCTTAATCGAATAAATGTGTTGAAGTAAATGTTAGATAAAATATAAAAACATCCTAATAAATTTAAATATTAGTAAGATGATTTATTGATGTTCTCCATTGGTCGTGCCAAATCAATACTTAGTTTTGGAGATTTTTAATAGTTTTGTAATAAGATTCATCGGAAGGGTATACGCTTAAAACAAAGTTGACACTTTGTAACAAAAACCTAATTGATCAATTCAATTTAAAAAACCACTCTAGTTGAATGAAACATAAAGAAAAAATAGAATAAAAAAAAACGTGTCACGTAAAGTGCAAAGGAAAATTTAGTAATTTAGTTATGGTTAGACAAAAGGGCAATTTAGTACTTTCTACATGCCACGTGGCAATCATATGAGGTGTTTGAAAGGGAGGTTTTTGTTTCTAATATAGTAGGATATATATATATATATATATATATATATATATACTATAATATTTTTATTTTAAAAATTGGTTTCTTTTGGGGTTGCCTTTTCAAACGTAGAATGCCGCGAGGCCGAAACGATTTGATGGGAGAGTAGCCTCGTGGGAGCCACGTCGAAGAAATATCAGACCATAATTTTCGGAATTGATTCTTTTACGTAAGTTTTGGGGGCTGATTGATATTTATTAGGTTCTTATGATTATACTATTTGATTTTCCTATTTAGGATTTGGCACTGGAGCTTGGCCATGTAGATCTGTGTTTTCGGGACTTTAGTCAATTTTGAGCAACATTCGAATTTCACTTGTACAAGTGTGTGGTTTCGCACTTTCTATTGTTTCTACGTTCATCTTCAATGCTGATCGTGAAACGCCGAGAGAAACAGGTCATTTAGGTTCGAAATTTGAAATTAAATTTTTTTTATTTGTCTATTCATAGTCAGTACATAGATGAATAAAACGTCATTTATTTGTATTTTCTTCACCTATGGAATTTTCTTAGTATATAATTAGAAATGCTACAATTTAAGCAATGTAATTTATCTTAAGTGTAGAGATTTTGTATCTCTTTTGTTATGGCTATATATGTTAAGGTGACTGTAACATTTTAAACGCGTGTTATTTTAACTTAATTTTCTATGATTGTACTTTTTTTTTTAAGACTATTTTCTTAAAGAGGTAGTTTCATGTTAACTCCAAAAAAAAAGAGATATATTCATAAATGTTAATAACTTAATTGTAAAGAATGTTCATAAAATGGAGAGTTACACTGTATAATATGTAATCATTTGTAATTATTACTAATGCATAGATTAAATTTTCTCAATTTTAAGAAATATTACCGAGAGTATTTTTTTTTTTAAAAAAAGAAAATCTATCCCAGTGCACCTCACTTAAATGTGGGTAAAACTCCCGTAAACCCTTAATGAGAATTGAATCCAGGTCTAACACGAAAAACCACAGCGTCCTAACCAATAGATTGTTATTCAATTCATGAATGTGTAATTGAGAAGACTAGAATATGAAAATGGTCATTTACATTAGGCAAAGTCTTCTACATTAACATTTGGCTAAAATTATCAGTTACATTTCAGAATGTAACTCGAGATATTTTTGGAATAATATTTTGATTTCTCAAAAACTTATTGAATAAAATATTAATACAAATATTTAAATCATTAATATTAATAAAAATAATAAAGAATTTAATATAGATATTAGCTTAATTAAATACAAAAATTAATTTGTTAAACTAAAATGGGAAACAATAAAAATTGTACTTTTCTTGCATAAAGTTTATATTATTTTTAATTTGGTAGGTTTGGGATTAAGTAATAGTATTAATTTTATGGCAATCTCTAACAAAAAAAAAAAACTTTAGTTAAAATTCAATATTATCTTTAAATAAAATTTCTTATTTTTTATTTTTCTTAACTTATAAAATTGTAGGAACTAGACGTAGATTGTAGATTTCTAAAAAAAAAACTATCAATATATCTAATTTCTTCATTTTTTTTACTTGTCATAAGTACAAACCCAAAAAATATTATTTAATAGAGATCATTAATGTATTAAAGTATAATTATGGAGGTTTTGTAATACCAAATAAAGTATCAATGTAATAAAATAATACGAAATTAATAAAATTAACTCAAAATAAAAAAAATAAAAGAAAAATATGTTTTTATAAAGAAATTCCATATTTTTGTTTTTTTTTTTAAGAGTGAACCACAAAACAGGTCATTGAACTATTTGATAATGCTTTATAAGTCATCAATCAAATTTATTTGTAAAACAGGTCACCATACTACGCAAAAAGTTCATTCAAAAAATCATTCTGTTAATTTTGGACGTTAAATAGTGACGGAAATCTATTTTTCACATTCTTTTGGGTTTCGGGGTATTCTTGTCATTTTGTTATTTATTTATTTTTATTTTCTTTTTTACAATTCTTCTTCTTATACTACCTAACTTGTATATGCTGGTAGTATAATTTCTAAATTTCAAAAATTAATTTAACTTTTGTATTTCAACTTCTAGATTATAATTTTTTATAAAAATAAAATTAGAAAAATGAAGAAGAAGAATTTGAGTTGAAATAAACATAGAAATTAATAGTTTATCGTTTTAAACCAAAAAAAGAAACTAAAAAATTAGCTGAGACAAGTTGTTTCTTTTAGTAGGTTATTTAATTTTTTTCAACTCGATTTAATCATTTAATTATAAATTTTCACGTTTATTTCAATTTGAATTTTTTTCTTTATTTTTTTGTAAACTAGAAGTTAAAATACAAATGATAAATTAATTTTGAAATTTAATAATTATTATAATACCAAAATATACATGTTAGAAAGGAAAAAAGAAGAAGAATTCTTTAAAAAAATAAAATATTAATATATTTAAAGAGAAATACTGAATTATGAAATTATTACTGGACCCAAAAGCATGTGAAAAATAGTTTTCTGTCACGATTTAACGTTCAAAATAGCTTTCAGCTAAGAAAAGTTATTTTCCCTAGGTTATTTTGGGTGTTATATTGTGACAAAAAGCTATTTTTCACATGCTTTTAGAGTTTTGGGTCCAGGGCAATTTCATCAATTTATATTTTTTTAAAAATATATTAATAATTTAATTAATTGTTTTTTTATATGCTTCTTCTTTTACTTCATAACTTATATATGTTAGTACTAGTATCATTATTAAATTTCAAAAATTAATTTGTCATTTGTATCTTAACTTCTAGATTATAAAAAAAAGGAATAAGAGAAAATATATAAAATTCAAATTGAAGTTAATGTGAAAATTAATAATTCAATAATTCAATCGAGTTGAAAAAAAATTTTAAAAAAAAACCCAGAAGAAATAACTTGTCTTAGCTAATACTTTTAGTTTTTCTTTCGGTTTAAAATGGTAAACTATTAATTTTTATTTTTACTTCAACTCGAATTTTTCTTCTTCATTTCTTAATTTTTTAAAAAAAGTTTTATAATCTAGAAGTTAAAATACAAAATTTAAATTAATTTTTGAAATATAGAAATTATACTACCATTATATTCAAAGTTAGGAAGTATAAGAAGAAGTATTGTAAAAAAAATTAAAAAAATAAAAGATTAAAATTTTAAAAATAATAACATAACAAAAATACCCCTAAACCCAGAAGCATGTGAAAAACGGATTTCCGTCATTATTTAATGGTCAAAATTAACAGAATAATCTCGGATGAATTTTTTGCTTAGTTTGGTGACCTGTTTTACAAATGAATTTTATTGATGACCTTTATTGGAGTTACCTAGTAGTTCAATGACCCGTTTTGAGGTTCATTTTTTTTAAAATAAGTTTAAATTCTAAATTCCTAAATTTAGCATTTTAAATATGACATTTTATTAACAAAAACTTAAATCTTATGCAATCATAAACAATTTCAGAAATTAGTATTTCCTTAAAAAGAACATAATTAAGAAAATAATATCTTTGGAGGAATCTACTATGTAAATCTAAAATTATAAGTTATAAAATCCAAAATGAAAATTGGATTTGAGTTAATCTTAAATTTTAAATTAATTATTTTTTTTAATGTTAGAGATTGTAATGAGAACAATGTTTTTACTTTGTCCGATTCCTTCCAAATTAAAACTCATATAAAATTTTTGGAAAGAAGTACAATTTTTATTATTATGCTTCATTTTGGTTTAAGAAATTAAAATTTTGAATTTTTTATTAATTTAATATTCAATTTGAATTCTTAATAATTTTCACTTATATAATAATTTTAGTAGTTATAATAATATTTTTTTAAATATAAAAAAAAATAATATATCTTGGAAGTACTCTTGTTGAGTTGATTCTAAATGTGATCAAAGTGTATAAATAATGTCAAAGGATAAAAAATAATTACATTCTTAAATGTAGAGAACCATTTTAACCAAATTTATTGTAAATGACCAAAATGTATTTGACCTAATTAAATGGTCATTCATTCTTAGATTATACTCCC